CATCTCAAGTGTTGGTTGCTGGTCTAGACTTGACGTGGCAGTTGGTCCAGTGTTGAACAAGAACTCGAGACTGCGGGAGGATCACAGAAACACTCTCATATTCTAAAAATGAATTCATTCGTGTTACTGACTGGAAGAAATAATCCCGATTAAGTATTCTAAAAAAAAAAATATGTGTTTGAAAGTTTTTGAATCATTTAATTCTGCGGCACCTCAGTCATGATAAATATTTCACTGTCAAGGTCGTCCACTAACCAAAACAGCAGTTGTGCGATTCCCGGCTACTCATGTCTTGATTCCGATGTGGCTCGATGGTAAAAGTGCAGCATATGAACGTGTGCGTGAGTGCGGCTCGTACTTCAGAGCCTGATTTACCACAGAAGAAGAACCTCCATTATGCAGCCTTACTTCCTCCACGGGTGGAATATAATGTCCCCCCCTCCACATTTTGTGTGGGAACCTTTTATGGCGAAGTGGAGTAAAGGCTCATCACACCGACCTGGAACAGGCTGTGTAGAAGAATATCACGTCCAATATAAGTATGAGATCAAGCAGGTGTTTGATTCCCTGCTTGTGTGTGTGCACACGTGTGTGTTTGAGTGTGTGCACGTATGTGTGTTCCTTTCCTGGTGATGCAATTCAAAGAAACTGAGTGGATTCTCCATAAGCTATTCCATACGTCCTTCTGTCCTTCAATTCACCACGTGTTGAATACATTGGCTGTTAGAAAATATGACAGTTTGGTGTTTTTAGAATAAATATTTGTTTCACTATCACCTTGAAATGACCTCGTTTCAGATTTAATGTAACTGGTAAAGCTGAAAGTGAACCTACTCTTTGTGTTCACTGTTGAGTTGCTGTGATTTTCTGTGAGTAGACGTTGTTGTCAGGCAGATTTTCTCACACTCTGGCACCTCCTCACTGAGAAAAAGGGACTAATATATATTTAATATGTTATTATTATATTTAATATTTAACTCATTGCCTTTCAGAGAATAACAAACCTCAGGATCGTTGCAGCGATAAGGGAGAAACGTTTAGAGACAATGATTCAGATACCAACTAATCCATAGAATGTTATGATACCACACTTGGCCACATTTTTCTTCATCCACCTGAAGACTAATCCTCCACAAAATTAACGTGAAAATCAAAGCCCCTCTATGTATTTTCTTTATTCATTAGTTGTGCCCCTTCCACTTTCCTCCATTCATCTTTCTTACCTGACCAACCATCCATCCCACAGTCCATCCAAGTCCTTTCCTTCTCTCGCCTCCACACAGACAGATGGATGCCCTGAATAGATCCAGGAAATGGTTCCTTGTCCATCCTGTTGGACTAAACCAACTGGCTTGGGACCATCGTTTCTCCCACTGAGTCTCGTATCACGAGTATCTGAGCGGTTGGACTCGCCAGCAGCAGAACTCCCACTCTAAATACAACGGCCTTTTTACAACAAGTAAAAACTCACTCGTTTAATAAAAATTGGCTCTGGAAACAAAGAACACATTTACGTATTTAAAACCGGCCACATTTTGCACGGTCACCATTTTATGTGAGTAGATTAGCATGTTTACATTTTACAAATCGGAAGGTCGGTCATTTTGCAGATATTTGCTCATAAACCAAAAATATTTCTATTCTGCAGAACGTAACAGAACTGACCAACAGCAGCATCATTACATCCAGATCCTGGCCGTCGCCCACAGACATTCACCATTGTGTTATCACAGGCACCTGGGAACGGCTAGTCTGAAAGCTTGTAGTGACCTGGCAAAGCTTGACAGGGCCGGGTTGGCATCTACCGAGATTCAGCAGAGCATCAGTGGACACATTTCCAGCTGGCAAGGCCCTATGGTCAATGCAGAACCTGGCATCGGTCTAAAGCCTCGTAAATGGCCAGTAGTGGTTTGTGCACCATAATCTGCTATAAGCTGAATGTTCTAACACGGAAATAAGCATAAAAACAGGTCCTGGGTGTTTTGTCCAAACAGATAAAGCGGGTCAGTTCTGCTCTGATCCACATTTATCCTCCACTATTTCTCTTCTACCATCCATCAACCCATCCGTCCATCCCTCTGTCCACCCTGTCCATATTTGTTCTCAGTGGAGGTTCTTCTTTCCTAGTGTTTTGTCAGAGGTCTGATGGTGGTCACATATGTTGCGCTCAGCCAGAGCAGGTGGTGAACCGTTGGAGGAGATAACGCTCAAAACACAGCAAACAGTCATGCACATGGTACAGTCCTTTCACCCATCCCACCATCTATTGATCCATCCATCCATTCATCCATTCATCCATTCATCCATCCTTCCATTCAAAATAATTGTTTCCCAATGGGTTTCTCATAGAAGCAAATAGACTATTGAGTCAGAGGCCCTGTAATCAACGCAGTTATATTGTTATTCACAGCACATATTAGGTCGTTAATGGAGCATGAAGTGAATAAGTGACTGAGAAGAAACATGTAATTAGGGCAGGAGTAATGAGTTAATTGTCAGTAACCCTCACCCTGGCTTTAATATTGTGGCTGATTGGTGTTAGTTTTACTTACTTGAGCCTGAAGCTTCTTAAAAATATTTATTTTTTACTTCTAGAGATTAAACACCACATTAAAAAGGATGTAGCTCGGTTTCACACCATCCTTGTGGTGGTGCGAGACCTTGAAACTTATATCAGTGAACCAAAATATCAGTGACAGGCTCCTCAGACCACGGTCCAGATTCACAGTCCCAAATTGAAACCATTGTTTGGTTTGTTTGCAGTGTTTACAGCAAATATACAGTGATGGTCAAATCGACAACATGTCAGAGTCAAGTGTAAGTGGACGCAGCCCACGTTGGTGATGACAACAGGACGTACATTCATCAGACAAAATTCCAAATGGAACAAACACACGAAGCTCGGTTTGGATGAGTCGAGACGTAAAAAGTCACATTTCAAATCACATTTCTGATGGTTTGGCATTTACACTATCAAAACAGGCCAGATGAAGGAGTTACCTGTTTAAATGTGGCTTATATGGTTGTTTTTTCGAGTGAAATGGATGTGAGCAGCAGTTCGTAGTGTTCAGGGAGAACTTACTCTCAGTGTTTATCCTCCATCACCATCTGTTCCGAGCCTGTGAAACACTACATGCTGTAAAGCTGGTTTTGGATGAGATGAATTGGAACAAAAAGAAAGATGACTCTTCAGTTAAGTTTAACGAGCATGTTACTCTCCCCGCGGAGCACGGGTAATCGCCCCTGCCATTTGTAGCTTTTGTTGTTTTATCCTCTCTCTACCGGACTAATGGAGCAAAGGCATAAACACACAACGCAGACCCTGAAGAAGCTGGAATTGCTCAGCGGTGGTAGTTAACAGCGTGATGGTTTATAGCAGGTGTCCAGAGGATACACAGCAGCTAAGCTCAGAGATGGTCCTGTAAAGCCTCCCTCGCTCAGAATCACTGTCTTTTAATTAACCAACCCTCCGCAGACACATAGGGAGAGTGGGAAGTGTGAGACACACACACACACTAAACACATTCGCAGGGTGAAGTGAGCATGCCCTTAAATATATATTTAAAGAAATACTCTGCCCTACATTTGCTTCTCTCGTTCATGGAGAACAGAAGGAGCTCGATGCCAAAGCTGAACGTTTCTTCTCTGGCGTAAAAAACAAATCTTGATCAGATGCAATAAACCGTTTCACCCTGTAATGGTGGTCAACCTTTATGTTTTTCATTTTTCAATCCCGCTACTGCAAGGTGCCTTTGAGACAGGACATGTTAGGTAATCGCCTCAGTCGGCCAAAGCTTCTGGCCTTGTTGAAGCTACCGACGAGATAAGGCCGGTTCAGGGAATGGAGATAATGGCTGAAGCTAAAGGCTTTGACTGGATGTTATCTTTGCTGCTCCGTGTATAGTGTCAAATTTAAAGCAACACTAATTAACTTTTACAGAGCAACAGCGCCCCCTTGACGTCACACGAGGTGATTAACTCTGTCGGGCTCCGTGTCCGAGCGATGACATGGTTTTTATTTTTAGAAGAGACAAAGTCTGACCAACGGATGAAGCCTCCGATGCATAGATAGAACAAGATCAGAGAATTTGGAATGAAAGAGGAAACATTCTCCTTATTCCAAGTCAGTAAACCGTCAAACACATTTTAATCCAACTGCTGTTTTAAGGTTAAAATTAAAAAATGACTCCATAAAACGCTCGTTACTTACAAAAACTCTCATCAAGCTCTGCTGAGGAAGCACGGCGCATTTCAGTCTGAGCTCAGAGTTGGAGTCAGAGTGGTTGTGTATGTTCTAGGAATAATAAATCCACGCGGTAGCATGGCTAACCTAACAGATCAGATTAGTATCTGTGAAATCACAGCTGATTAGGTTGTGAGAGTGAGTGTGTGTGAGTGTGTGTCCCAATTTATTCTCTCGGGAACATCTAAATTAATTCCCTATGCTTTATCCTCTAAAAACATAAGTGACCTACTTTAGACATTATTACTCTTTTTCCACAGTCGCAGTTTTAGATGTTTTTTAAAAAATCTTTTCTTTGTTAATCCTTTTGGAAAAGTGTGTGTGTGTGTGTGTGTGTGTGAGACAGAGGAAAGAAATAAGTTGAATGTGAATAAGTGTGTGTTTGCCACAGAGCAGATGAGGAGTGTGTCATGATGCCTGTGAGTGTGAGCAGAGCAGCTTTTAATCTCCTGGCAGTTGAACAGTTGTGTTGGCATTATGAGGACTAATGATTTGATGCCTGCAGCTGTGTGTGTGTGTGTGTGTGTGTGTGTGTGTGTGTGTGTGCGTGCGTGCGTGCGTGGGAGACGTGCATGATGGATGAATTTCCAAAGAAGCCACAGCCTGCCCTATGGCACTGATGAGTCAAACACTGATCTTATTGCTTTCCACAACTCCTAATTAAACACTTGTTTCTGCATTTTCTTTTCATCCCCCCCCTTTTCTCCTTCTCCTACATCCCTTCTTCCCCCCGTCCTCCTTGTTTCCTTCAGCTGAGGGAGGTCATCCTGACTCAGTGAAGCGGGCTGTGCCTTTGCCTCTGGACCCTGCAGCTCCCTCCAACCTCTCAGCCACCCCTGAAATTGGAGACAGAGCCTGGGGTGAAGACAAAGAGGCGATGGACGGGGCGGACCTCGACGACCCCGGAGCTTGGTCTGAGGACAGAGTGTTCGCGGAGGACGCAACGGCAGTTCGGACTGAAACAGAAGCAGCAGTGCGTCCCGGAGCAGGTGGCAAAGTCTTTGCGGAGACTGGGATTTTGACGGGAGCTGGTGCCTGGGCTGAAGTTGGGGCTGAGTGGAGGCCAGTGGACAGGGAGGGGGGTGAGCTGCCAAACATGCCCAGGGACCCGGCCGCCTGGCTGGGGGAGCAGGGGCTGCATGCGCAAGGAGAGGGCCAAAGAGAGCAGGCGGCTTTTTCATCAGTCCTCACCATGCTGGCGGAGACGGCAGAGTTTCAGGCACCAGCAGTGGGAAAACCTTTAGGGCTGCTGTCTAAAGTTGCCTGGACCAGAGGCTCCTCTTCATCGCCGTCCAAGGCCTCCTCCTCTTCCTCATCCTCTTCTGCAGCAAAGGCCTCCTCCTCTTCCTCTTCCTCCTCATCCTCTTCTGCAGCAAAGGCCTCCTCTTTGCCTTCCTCATCCTCCTCATCCTCTCCACCCAGTAACAGAAACAGTCCCACAGCAGGGTCAAACAACGTAACTCTGGTGGCCGTCAACAGCAGCTCCTCCAACAGCAACGACAGCTTCAGTTCAGGTTGTAAATTCACTCATTGAACATTTGTTTTAACTCGGGACTAATACATCGAGGTAGAGACCTCATTTACAACAGAGCCCAATATAGAAATAAACTAAATATCCCAAGACACAAAGAAAAACACAAATAAACAGTAGAATTTGTAAAATAGCAGGAGCAATCGTAAACTCTATATATATTCAATAATTAAATATTATTCAAAGCAAATAAATCAATTAAAACAAGTCAATCTACTAAAACAGGAACAGTTAGAGTTAAAGAAAAAGGACAAATTAAAAACCTAACTTGCCCTGAGGATTAAAAAGAGTTGAGCTTTAGATTGTTCTGTAAATTATTCCATGTTGCAGGTGCTTGTTGAAGAAACCTGGATTTTCAGAGATCAGTTAAAAACAATCAAATCAATCAAATGTTGCACTTTCTGGCAAACGTTGCTCAAACAGGAGCAAAAAGCACATTTGTCTGTGCTGATTTTCAGCTCTGAATAAATTTCATTACTTTCACTTTAACACACACATTTGCTCCCGTCAGTATTTATGAGCGCAGGATAAATATTCTGGATTGAGACCAAAGTTGTTTGGAAGCTGCCTTTGTCATTTGGACGATGTAACAGTCCAGATTTATTCAGACTAAACTGTGTGTTCATGGTAATGAAGGAACCTGTCACCAGTGCAGTAATGCACTTTGATGTGTGTGTAATATTTTTGGAGCTCCGTGGTTCAGACCAGTGTGACGCATTAAACTTTGCATATAAACACATAATAAGATCAATTCACTGTTAGGATTTGAAACGACACCCAACGACCGACTTGTTCTTTAATACCTCTGACCTCTGAATGTTTTCCTCCCTGCAGACGAGCCGGTGAACAACCTGCCGGCCTGGGACCTGCCCACCGTCCCAGAGTCCCTGCTGTCCACAGTGGGTGACCACGACGTCACACTTCCCGCCAACGTCACCAGCCCTTTCTCCACCCACCAATGGAACACCACTGTGCCCGCACGCACCACAAACACCTCACGCCCAACGACCGCGCCCAGCACCACCATAAAGACATCTCTATCGACCACCACCACGTCAGCTTTACCGCTCTCCGCTGCGGCGACCGCACAAACGTCGCCAGAATCCACCACGGCTCCGAACAGCACGAGCCAGGACATTGTGACCGGTGAAGGCCTTCAGCTGACGACGGTAACCACGACGATGCCCTCAACGACCATTCTGACTGTTACCGCTGATGAGGTGATGATGCAGGCGGTGACCACTGGGAGTGCTGCGACGTCACTACCAAATATCAGTGCTGCTACGACCACGCAGCCGACGACGAGCCTCAGACAAACCACAGAGGCTACGTCTCCGCCTACAACCACCACCACGACCACACCGGCCCCTACTACCCCCACCACAGTACCTCCAACCACCACCACCTCCACTACTACCACCACCCCTCCCCCTACTACTACTACTACTACTACCACCACTACTACTACAACTACTCCTGCCCCCACAACAACTACGACCACTACTACACGTGCAACCACAACAACAATGGCACCTGTCACCACTGTGTTCATGGACCACACGACTCCACCTCCGACCACAACCACAGAACCTCCGTCCAGCACCACTGCAGAGGAAGGTCCTCTGCCCTGCAACGTGACCGAGAAGTACTGGGTCAGAACAGGTACGAGACTCGTGTCCCGTTATCATTATGGGATTGTTTGGAGGAAGAACTGGAAGAATTTCAGAAAGATCTGAGATTTCAAATTTACGAATTGTTAATTCAAATGTGATGCAACGTTCCATCAATTTGGTTCTGAATCTCGTTTAAAAAAAAAGATCTCTGTTCCTTTTAATATGTTGTAATTTGACGAGAATAAAGAAAAAACATTTTTTTTAGAAAATTAGCAGCAATAAGAACTCTTCTGGATCCAAAACCTTGAAACAATCTCATTGAGAAACTATGAAAACCCTTTGAATATTAATCAGATGTCGACCAATATTTTCTTCTCCACTAAAGAGACGATTTCTTCAAGTTCTGTTTGGTTAAAAGTCTTGATACTGATGATTCTGTGGAGCTGATGAGACAAAATATTAAATATTGTGTTATTTGTAAAACTTAAAGTTTGACTTAAGATTGTCACTTTAACACAGGAGACAGGCTGTTCTTCTGATATTCCCACTGAAATTATGCCTTTATTCTCGTAAAATGTCCACTTTATTCCCAAAATCTCAGAAGTTTTTTCCTTCGATGTGACTCTGAAGTGTGGGAGACAAATAACAGAAGACAAACAAAGCAGCATGAATGGAAAATACCTCGGGGTCAATCTCATATTCAGATAATTTACTGTTTCTTCAGGTTGTTCATTCTTATCAATTTACCTCCAACGTATTCAACAATATGTTCAGGAAGGCTTCGTCCGTTCTAGTGGAAAAACGATTACAGAGTAATAATGAATACACATTAAATACCATTTCAGAAGCTTAGGCACTTAATGTACCTATTGTGTGACCAAGCTGTAATTACATGCACACAAATTAATTTGATCTTGCACAGAAGGAAGGGCAGAGTTTCCTGGAGTGTAAACAGTGAGATTAATAAGAAGCCGGAGATCGGAGCCCGTGATTGGATTTACACTCAGAGACGTTGTGGTTTTACTGAGGGACGGACTTCAGGTTCCAGTCACAGAGAAGACATTTAAACAGATGTGACCATCTCACTGAATACATACTTATTCATACAGATATTTTGTATTTACCAACAAGCCAAACATGAACCATTAGTGATATTTAATCGTGAACATTTTCTTCCTTCACAGTTTTGTCCATCGAGCTTCGCAGGAACCGCCTGGACCTGATCCTGAAGCAGAATCTGTCTAAAGGACTGAGCCACGCGCTGCAGAGAGCCCTGAACGACTCCGCGGCCTCGGCACAGGTCGGTCTATCTTCACCTCCATCTGTGGGGCTAATAAACGCAGCTCACTGGCTTGTAACCACCAAGTCCAGGACTAGTAAACGGGTGATAAAGACGGGACAGAAGTAAATAATCACAGGTCAGCGGGTGATAAATGTCCATGTGGTCGATAGATTTATGTCGACAAAACGGGTCAGTTATCAGATGCAGGTTCATCAGGATGTTTTACGTTTTTTAAATGTTATAGTTTATGTAATTATATTTAGTGTGAACTTGGAAAATACGCAGTCTTATGGTTTTTAAGCAGCGCGTACACACTGAGTGTTAGCAGTGAGACAGACATGTGAGTTAAATGGGAAAGCTTGATTCAGTAAATACATCAGTGGCTCGTAAACGCAGGCTGTCGTAGTTAACACAGTGTATTTACTGTAACTAGGTAATTAAGCTAGTTTGTGCGATAAAATTCTAATCTTCACATTTTACATTTGCTGGCCCTTCACGGGTGCGGAGATTTATTCACTCGTCAATTTACGCTCATCCTTGGTATTGGACACGTTCCGCTCTCGCTCGCCTCACTGCGACTCGTCTGAACGATGCTAGAGACGAGCAGGGAGCGGTGACTAATGCGGGCGGCGCTGGAAGTCTGAATAAGAATTACCTGTTGAAATTACAGTGAGGCAGCGTTTGCGTCGAGAGGTTATTACACACACACACACTCATACTCATGCACGCTCTCTCTCTTTCACTTACGCTCACACATGCTAATGGGAGATAAATGCTGAATAAATTATTGTCAAGTGATCTTTCAGTTTTACTCCTCGTCGGGCTTTTTGTCTTTGTTTTGATTTGTTCATCCAGAGTCTCAGTCTATTTATGTTTCATCTTCATCTTCTGTGTCTCTCCTCTTCCTCGCTCAATCACTCTCTCGCCCTCTTCCTTCATACTTCCTCAGTATTTACATTTCCCTCTTTGCTTCCCCCCTCCATTGCCCCTCTATCTGATTGCTCTCCAGGTTTAAGTCGATTGATTTTCTGCCAGCTGCTCCTGTTTTCCCTGTCCGTCCGTCGGCCTGTCTTCCCCGCCTACCTCCCTTCATGTCACTGTCTGTCCGTCTTCCGTCTTCATCCGCCTGCTTTTTCTATTTTTATCCAGTTGTTTGTGAGCACTGCACAGGGAGTGACTCAGTGTCTCTAAGCTCCAGTCCACTTTCATCCCCCTGCCACACACACACACACACACACACACAACAAAACAAAACCACTCCTCACTTGTCCTCCTCTCCATCAGATAATGTACACTGTTATTTGATAATCTGGATCCGACTATTGAGAAACGGCAGCAACGACAACAACAAGGCATAAAACTGTCCGGTGCTTTAAAAGCCGTGATATGAAGGCAGGGTCCAGAGGCGCTGATGATGGGTAAATCTTCTGCAGGGACAGGGATTGTGAAGCAGCGTGAAATTAGCATGCAACAGAACTTAATGGGATGCATTACTGTGTAATATGTTTGACCATAATTTGCTGCCAGAATTGTCCGGTTGTGCAGCTTCAGACGTTGGCAGAGAGAGAAGAGACAGCAGGGGGGAGGTCGAGGTTCTCCAGAGTGCAAGGCCGTATATTTAAACCCCAGAGTTCGAAAGAAAAACAATCGATAAATGCTTATAAGATCCTGTGACATGTGACAGTGTTGCTATAGCACACAGAAGGACATTTATTTGATTCCTCGCTCGTTCCATTTGAGGAATAAGCCTCAACGCTCGCTGCTTATTTTCTAATGAAATGCAAAACTCAAATGTGGAGCTGTCGGAAGAAAAGAATGAGGTGCTGAGTAAAATAAAAAAATGAAGAGCTGCTGGAGAAGCTGAGGCTGAAGCTCTGGTGAACGCTTGAATAAGAAGTAAAGATGGCAGGTACATATTGTGTTGTTTGTTGTTGGTACAGAAACAAGAGCAGAGGAAGGGGGGGGGGGGGTAATGAGATATGGTTTCACTAAGAAGAAAAAATATAAGACAAAGATTGCCAGGGGCATCCAGCTAACAGAGGAGAGGAAGAAGGGAGGAGAGGACATGAGGGAAAGAGGACAGGAAGGGAGAAGAGATAAGAGGAGAGGAGAGGACAGTGAAGGAGTGAAGAGGAGATGAGAGAAGAGAACCATAGTAACAACAGCTGCTCAGAGTGGTTAAAGTGGAGGAAGGTGGGCGGTTTCCAGCTCCTCAAACACAAGCCTTGACTCACCACTGATTGTTGTCTGGATGTTTTTCCAGGACACAGTTTGTCAGATTTATGACGAAGGTTCAACCTAAAAAAAAAAAAAGAAAAGAAAAAGCCCTGGAGTCAGATCTGGCTTTAAACAGAGATTATAAATATTCATAGTCTGAAGTGTCTGTATCCTAAATCTACAGCTCAAGTGCAACATGTATGAGAGGAAGCTGCTTTACTCCTCGTCTGCAGAGCGTGCATCAGGAACACACGCACACACGCACACAGCCTTTGTGGGAACAGGTGTAGATGTAGTAACTTTCCTTTTCTGTCGGTCTCAGGTGGAACATGACGACTGCAGCCCCCACAACGTGACCCTGGTTTACTACGTCACCAGCGGGAAAACCATCTACATCGCGTCTCAGGTGGTGGAGGCGCTGAACGTGTACGGTTTTGACAAATTGCTGTCGGACATCAGGCAGCACATCCCGCTGGTGAAGGCGGTTCTGGTTCCTGTGGCGACCTGGATGCCCACGCCGAGCATTCACCTGCAGCTGAGAACAGGTAGAGGGAATGGAGATGAGGAAGATCCGACTTTTTACATCAGGAAACCAACAAAAAACAGTTTGATGATGATGATGCCGTGCAGAGAGGAGGAGGGGAGGGGGGGTATGAGAACAGGCAACGAGAGCACAGGGAGGGAGACACAGGGGAAGAGTGGAGCAGAGACCAAATTAGAAAATACTGATTACATGTCTGCTCTCCCTTACTCGTCTCTGATACCCTAAATCCCATACAAACTCCCATGATTGCAGAGCAAAGGAAAATTGGTCCATTCATTTAGTTTGTCTCTTAAGCCTCTTAAAAACTCACATTACACACACACTCACACACGCACACACACACACACACATGCACATGCCCACACTCTCGATTCTTGTGGGACCAGTGGGGGGGAAAAAAATCTGGGCAATTAATAAAAAAACCGATGCATCTGCAGATTGAAAAATTGGAAACTTGAACTAAAACTTTTCAATTCATGTCTTGTCCACTGTGTTCAGATTAGATTCAGCTGTGCAGCTGTTAACTGGACTAAAGCCTCTGTGTGTGTTTTTTATTTACGCTCATTCACATTTAAAATGTAAAAACTTGCACATCCTTCAAAAAACTGCAATATGTCAATCAGCAGTGTGGTGTTCTGCCTCCTCGTGGGCAAAAATAACAGACTATTGTTGTTTTAATCATTAGGGAAATTATATTATGTGAAGCATTCAGCAGAGACCACAGTCTCTCCTTAACCTCGACCGACGGCTCTACGTTAACTAAACAGGAGTATCAACACAAACCCTGAAGCCCCGGCTGCTGTTCAATGGTCAGTGAAGCTCGACGGAGAACCTCAAAGTGTAGAATGTGTCGTCCTAATATATATATATATATATATATATATATATATTCTCAAATTCTCAAAAACATAATCCACCTGGCATCGAATATTGGCTTTAATAATCACACTAAGGAATCAGTCTTAGCCAGAGGGGGAAAAAAACATTTAGAAAACCAACTAAATAAAATTGTCTCATTTATTTGCCTGTAGTGTGACACAGTAAAAAAATCCACATTTGTTCTTTAGCTCATAAACCGTAAATACACAGTATCTGCCAATTTACCATACACAGCGCAATTTCCATACGATTACCAACTGGGTCGACAGTTCCTGAGGAATGACAAACAGAGAGCAGGGAAGACGGGTAAAAAAAAAAAACAGATCTCATAAGCACCAGTGTTTTTGAATTTAGGTCAGAATATCGTTGTTTTAAAAAACAGAGGGAGACAAAGAGCAGGGAGAGAACAGAGGGTGACCACCTTAATAACCTCCTCTATAATCTGCTGATAGACTCAATATTGTTTACCCTGCTCCTCCCGGTGTGGAGCCGTGTGACGCAGACCGGCGACTCTCTCTGGTTCTCATTCTCGATAGTGGTGATAATCCTCTTTCTCTGGTTTAACGTCTATCCAGAGCGCTACTTTCTTTAATACCTAAAATCCAGACCCAGATATAGATTCCACTTTGATTAAGTAGATTGTTGCAGTTTTTGAATAATTCCTCTTCCTCCAGCTTCGTCCCAGAACTTCAGTTCGTAGTTCTGACGTCAGAAAACCGCAGTTGGTACTGAATATATGATTAGATAAATATAGATGAAAATAACTACTTCACTTGCTCTGATGGAACACGTGGAGCAAACATCATTAATAATTAGCATAAAATTAAAAATACACTGGAGCAAGAAATTATTAAGAGATAATTGCATAATGATTAAGCAGCTAATAGCAAGTAAATGAATTTTACCAACTAAACATAATTTAATATAAATAATTGAACTTTAAATAACAAATAATGTGTCAAAGCAAAAACATCAGACTTTTCTAAATCAAGCTTCAATACACACTTTAATATTACAGACCAACTGATATGGATTTTTGCAGCGATGTCGATATCAGGGGATAATACCTTTTCTATATCAGCTCAGATATATAAATATAAATATATATACAAAACAATGGCAATGATTTCTAAGATGTTATATGACAAAGAATGTAGTTGAGGCTTGATGTTTTACAGTTTAATGATGAAACTTTAAATTAACTGACAATGCAACAAATAAACATCTAATCTTTTTTTGTTTATCCTGTAAAAGTAAAGTTTTTTCATGAACGTAAACAAAATATCTGTGAAGATTCTCACTCATCAGGGTCATGCTAACATTGCTTTTGTTCCAGAAACACGTGTACGACTTCTGAAAATTACCCAAATTTAAATTGTTTAAAGAACTGTTGATAAAACTTCTCATGATGATTCTCCACAGTGCTGAGGTTCGTCGGCCCGACAGACAACATCTACTCCTGCAGTTTTGTCCAGATGTTGGAGCAGAGGCTGGAGAACGCCTTCGATGAGGCTCAGGACAAAGTGCTGGAGACGTACAACAGGCTCGCTGTGGAGGTACTGCACACTCTGACTGCAACAAACACTAAAATTAAATCATATAATCAAATTAGAATGAGACTCTGTGAAGCACACAACTCTGCAAAGGTCCGACAGTCGCCTTAAACTGACCCTGAATCTGTCTTGTTTGTTTGGACATTGTTCTAAAACTGTTCGTTCTCTATTGAATCCACATTATTAACAAGTTTGTGGCTCTATTTGTTATATTCTTGCTGTAGCTGCCCTCAACTTTAACTGGTTCTTCCCTGACCCTTGTCCCATCCTTGCACCAGGTTTCACAGAGTTTTTAGGAATGAAAACATAACCTCCTTGGCGAAGGTAATAAATAAATAACTCAGATCAGAGTAAGTAAGAGCCTCAGTCAATCATTTAAAAAAGTTTTCTCTTTCTGTTCTCTCTCCTCTTTCTCTGCTTCTTTCCCCTCATTCTCATTTTCTCCCTCTCCCTCCGCCTGTCAGCCCTCAGTCGTTACTCACTCTTAAGTGAGCAGGTCTCACGGAGCAGATTCAGGGTCCGTTCATAATTCATCCTGTGAAATATTAATGCTCGTGAGGAAATGTGATGGGAATTCTTCGTATCTTGTATCATCATCCACTTTACTCCCGTAACTTAGTCTCATTCTTCTCCAGGCGCCACACCGGTCTTATTATAGAAAGAAAAAATGTTGTTCGTTCAAAGTGTCATAATGTGTCTGGGGCTCTGTTATGTATTTTTTATGGCCATCTTAGACATTTGGTATGATACCATTAGATATTTCTGTATGAACGTCTGAATTATGCATGAGCCGCCTGCCGCCTGTTTGCGTGTTTGCCATAAATAAAGAATAGAATAATCATTTCAGTATTGGACCTGTGGGGGCGCGCAGTGATTTATTTGATTGGTTGATTGAAATGAAATATTAAAATCTCTGGATGTGTTTTCCCTCAGATCCAGAGTGTGTCCCAGGAGCCCGGCTCTCCGTCCGTCTCTCTGGTTTACGTGGTGAAGAATCAGGACGCCGTCCTCAACGGGACCATCTCCAGCGGCCTCCTCAACCAGCTGACTGCCGAGCTGGTGGGCTACTTCCTGTTCTACCCTCCCCTCGTCATCGCTGAGCGTGAGTACACCCACGTTATTTATGATGGGTTCACAAACAAGTTAAATATATTTCCTCCCTCGTGAAACATTTACACAGCTGATGTTTGAATATTTTAAATTCTGTATTGTTTACTAGAGCCCGGCCGGTTTGAGCTTTTCACAGTGTTGTTGGAATCGGGAGTTAATTTGCAGAGATGCGTTGAACTTTTTATCTTGCAGAATAAACAAGGCATAAAAGATTAATTTCACATTTTAAGTAAAGAAATATCATAATAGAATTTCTATTTGGTTGTATTTGTGTTTTCTTTTTAGTCATAGTTATTGAAAACACATTTTCTTTTTCGTTATATATTATTGGTCGATATATCAGTATTGAGCCAAAAATTCATATTGATCTGACTTTATTTTCTTGATCATACAACTTTCATTTCAAAGAAAGGCTGGAATCTAAGGAAGTGTGACACACGCACACCTCCGCCTTTGGTAACGGCTCCTCGAATGTTTGTTAAAGTTAAAGAACGAGTCTCTTTATTCTAATTCTATAGTCGTTACATAACAGCTGATGTCCTCAGCCTGTGTAGCCGTGTGCTGCTGGACTCAGACAGACTCTACGACCGTGTGTTGGCTGCGCTCAACAAACACCGTGTCTGCAGAGAACCACTGAATCCACTACAGGCCGATGCATAATTCATGCCTGAGCCTATGTGTGACCTTCACAAAGGAGGTAATTCAAGAACACTCTACACTGTGTCAGACGATGGAGCGCACACCACAGGAGGAAACTCTAGTCCTGTCTCCTACAAAATAAAGCACTTATCAGATTTTCTATGCGTTAACAGCTACAGTGATCAATATTTTTTGCATAAACAGTGTCTCAGATGACAGTGATGTGCAGGGGATCCGACCTGGCGATGACGGTTGAGCCTCCTTTCAGCTCGTGTTCTAGTTCTTACGAGTGACACAAATAGTTTATCAGTGAAAATGTTGAGGAATAAACCTGATACTTCAAGATTAAATGCGTCATTTTAAGAATTGATCAAACTAGTAACACTAGTGCGCGGTAACGCAGCCTCTACAAGAGGCCTTGCGTAGATGAAATGGTGAATTATTTCTCTTTAGGCACATAAACACATTGTGATAATCAGTATTAATATTAATCAGTATCACCTTGAAGATTCTGTTCTGAAAAGTGCGTCAGCGCAGGAGAATGTAGTTGGCGGCATTCGTACAAACTGAAATATCTGGTAATGGGCAAATGCAAGATATTGATGGAAGCTCCATGGATATAATTCTCTGTCAGTCGCTCCTCTCACTGTGTTTGATGGATCACAGCTAATGGACCAGAATCGTCCTCTGATTTAGTTCAGATTTATTCTTTGAATGTTCAATCTCCTGCCGTCGTTTTCTTTTCTTCTGTCAGGCCCCTAATGCTCCTCAGTGTGTTTCTCATGCGTCAGCTCCAGACGACACGATAATAGACATGAGTCCAAGTGAACGTTATTTACTGCAGGATCTCACACAGGCTGTGTTTGTTTTCTTTTTCTATTAAAAGACATTACAAACATAAGTGAAAGACCTAAGACCCAGAGAGGAGGCGTATTAGCTGTGTTTGTATTCCTCCGCAGCCTCTAATCCCATCTGTGAGCCTTTTAAAGGGCAAACAGCTGTACAGCTCCCATCATCTGAATCATGCCATAGGCAGTCGGTCGTCCACGGCCCCTGAATGAGCTAATTTTAGCCTGTTGAGATTTGATTAGTATCTGTTTGTGTGGGCTCTCATCACCCAAAGGGCTCAAACCCTCACACTTCTCACTGTCACATCCAAACTCATAAAAACCACCGGGTCCGCTCACTCCAGAACAAACACAGCGTCTTTAACTGACGATGAAACAATGAGCAAGTTAATATTGAATCGTTTGAAATGATGAAACCGTTAATGACACATCTGGGATAATAGTCCGGGCGTTGATTGGTGCGAACGCATTGATTGAGGACGAACGCTTCTCGTGTGATTAAATCCTGAGTGCTGACCTTGACTCTGTTTACACGGATGATAACGTGTGTGAACGATTCAATTCAGCTGCAGGTGGTCGGACTGTGGGAGAGAACACGGATAGAACATACAAACCCCACATAGAAAGGTCCATTAACATGTTGTGTTCTCGCTGCTGTGACACAAGTTCAGACTACACGACTTTCAAAGATGGAGGTTCACACCACACCACTCGCTGTCTCGTGATCGGGAGTCTTGCAGTCGCTGTGACTTCATACCACACGACTGACGTTCACCAGGAGAAATCACCAACTAATATGTCTGCTCTCCAACGCATTTAGTCACGGAAACACACACAACACATGTGGGAAATAACACAATGACACTCCTCATAGATATCCAATCAAAGGGGGCGTTGTGTCGCAAGCCTTTCGAATTAGAGTTCAAACGCTAATTACTCTAGGTTCCGAGCCGAGCGACAAATCGAGTTAGGAATCGTGTAGAGATTTAAGAATTTTGGTTCAAAACAACTTTTGTTAAATTGTGACTGTTGTTAAACTTTATTCACGTGTTTATCACTGTTGCCGTGTGGACGAAGGTTAAAAACCAGCATTGGCTGCAACAGACCGTGGCCTCCTGCCCCTCTGCTGCCCCTGTTCCTCTGTAACGACACCTGACATCTTTTGCTCTCGGCGTAATGACTCAGCCGCTCCCGGGATTTGTCCCTCGAACATTAACATGCAACACAAACAGCATTGCATGTTTATGTTGTTGGCTCATATATTGAAAAACTCTCCGTAACGTGTGCTGAGAAACTGCAGCGTCCAGCTATTGTAGGAAAATCCTTTTTCTTTCATTTTTGTGAATAATGAAACGACATTTTCCAGCTGGTGTGTTGATGAGATGAATTCCCTCGATTTGTGCTGTTGACACCGAACATGAGTCTGAACATCAGCACGTCGACGCCGTTGGACTCAGGTGTTGACGTGCGCTGGTTCCAGGCGGAGAGGAGCTCGGTTAATGTAAATGTGCTCCTGCACGGATCCATCAGGGAGGCGGCAGCAGACAGTGAGACGTTGACTGGAGCTAAACAAAGCGCTCGGCCGACGGCTCGCAGGAGTTCGGTCTGAGGCAGATGGTGGAACAGGCAGATGGGAAATAAGGATGGATGGGTTGACAGATGAGTAGGACGGAGAACGAGGCCGACGGTGAATTAGGGAGTGGATGAGCAGATAAAGACGGACGGAGGAGCAGGTGTTTCAGGAGGTAAACAGGTAGAGGATGTGTGTGGATAGAGGAAGTGGGGAAAAAAAGGAAAAGCTTGATAATGAAACCCTGACATGAAATGTATGATCGGATTTTATCATCTGTGCCGGGGGCCACTGTTCAAATCCTCCGCAGACGTGTTTTCGCTGCTGCACACAAACAACCCGCTACTGTCGCATCCAACGTGACTTCAGTGATTCAGAGATTTTAATCCAAAAAGCCGAGAGTGAGAATCAGAAAGACAAATCAAAGGCATGAAGATTTATTTCAAATGTTCATTTTTCATGACGCCAGAGTCAAAAAAAATCTAATTCTGGAACATATTTATTTTATTTTACTGCAGCGAATGAAAGCCAATTCCTGTGTGTAAGCTCTGAATGCACACACGAAACAGAAATCAGTGTTTGTTTGCAACACAAAATAGTTCCTGTGCTTCTGATTTGAATGTTTTGATTCATTCGAAGGCATTTCAACATGTCACCGCGGGCAAATAATAAGACGAATGAAGGCTGGGTTCCGTTTTGCTGCATCTTGACACCTGAATATATTTAAAAAAAATTAAATTAAATGTTTTGATATGAAAGGTTGAAATGGTTCTTTAATCTGCAGAACTCTCTCTCTCTCTCTCCCTCCCCAGCCCTTGAATACCATAATCTCAACACGTCCATGGCAACGAAGAACTATTGGGTGATAACAGGTAAATTGCTCTCACACACACACATACACACACACACACACACACACAAACACACACACACACACACACACACACACACACGTCGCTGCTGGGTGATCAGCCGTAATCAAGAGCCGTATCGACCGAACAAAACAGCAGTTAGTTAAATGCCCTGCCGCACACTGTTGTGCAATTCAGCACAACAGTATTGACCCTCTACATTTTTCCTTTCCTCCCTTTCTCCCTCCACACCTCCATCTTTTCTCTGGCTCCCTCGCTCGCTCGCTGGCTGTGCTCAGTGTCTTTAGTTGCTCTGTTCCTGGGAAAAACCTATTGATGTATAATTCACAGCTTCCTGACTGGGGCAGAGGGAGAGATCACTTCACATCTCATCACGGCCCGGGTGTGAATGATGCTGGTGTGTGTTTGTATGTGTGTTTATTTGTGTGTGTGTCTGGGTCCGCAGCTCCGTCTCACTTAAAGCCTCTAAGAAACACACTTAGAGGCAAGATTTATGCAAGCGCGTGTGTGTGTGTGTGTGCGTGCGTTGTGTGTGTGTGATGATACGTGTTTGTTTTTGTCAGAGACAACACCAGGATTTAAATGTTGAATGGGACAGAGTCATGTTGACTGGGCAGAAGTTAATACTGTTTGTTGTCCTGTGTTGGTTTTCAGGCGCTAAATGTCGCTATAGCAGAAAACTAATTTGTTGTGGAAGGCATTTTTATTGCTGGCATAGCTTCTTATGTGCTGGAAGTGGAAGCTCAATTAATGCAGACGCAACTAGGCGCGAAACACTGGAAACAGAATATATGGACACAATCTTACACACAGGACAAAGTCCGTATAGAATGTTTGGAAACCAATAACTTCTAACTGATGAGTCCCTGAACACGCACCCTGCAGGCGATTGTCCGGTCTATTGATTGGTCCATGTCGGGACACGTGTTCCTATATCGAGCATTTTACTGAACGATCGTCCGGTCATTCTCATGTCCATGTTTTCATTCCCACCATCATCATCTCCTCTCTGGTTTCCTCTGTCCTCTCTAAACTCCTCCTCCGTCCTGTCTCCTCTGTCCTCACAGTGATCCAGGACGTGGACACCTCCTCCCTGGAGGCAAACTACCAGAGCTTCGCCAACCTGATGGAGCAGCGCCTGGCCGAGCTCTTCCTGGTGGCCGGCAGGCAGGGCTCGCAGGCGGCCCGATCCCGGCGGGCCACAACCGTAGGGGGCTACACTGTGCAGGTGGGCGGGGATGGGATTGTACTGTGATCATGTGTGTTGTTGTCATGATGACGATGTAGATGGATTATACATTTCATATTTATACATATATTATACATATCAAGTAATTCAAAGTTTCTGCAAATAGAATTTCATATTCTACTGAAGGAAAACTATTGAAAAAGTCAAGATATGCTGTCGATTATTTGCTCTAAAACTCAGGAGAGGTGGTCGTGTCGTTTACTTTAATTAATAGTTCCCATTGAAACTGTGCGTGTGTGTGCCTGTGTGTTATTTTCTGTACGTGTCACCTTCCTGTCCCGTGTTCCATATTGTACAAATTAAGACAACGATTTACTCCTCCCAGGATTTATGCCTTGCACTCCCCTGAGGTTTAATGGGAAGTCACAGACGACCGGTTTAATGGCTGCAGAGATGGAGGAGGGAGGGTGCAGTCAGAGGAGAAATCATCCAGCCATTTAATAACACACATCCCTTCTTTTTACGACAAAATCAAATTAGCAGACTTGATTAAATCCTGTGATGTGTTCGTCAAATTTAAATAAGATGTTTGATGTATGATGAGAGGAAATTGAGATTTGGAGTGACTCAGTTTTCCTTGAGTGTCTTCCCCGAGTGCAGTTATCTCGCAGCACATGGCTCGTCGTGATCAAAGCGATGGAGCCAATTCACAGTTTTGATAAAGCAGACATTTCTAATCTTAGGTTTGAGCAGATAAAGGACTCTGTCTTGAATCTGTCCGCGGATGTGTTGTGCTGATTTTCTTTCAAATAAACTAAAACTTTCTTTTGAGAACATGAATCGAGAGTTTGTACAGATTGTAGAAGTTCTATTAGTATTTTGATAATCGATTAATGACTTGTAATTGTAAAAAAAGCTGCGTTTGATCCCTTCCAGCAGTTTATTTACATATTCCAATGATGTTTAATTATGACGATAATTTCAGTTTGTTGTCATAATTCAAGTCATTTTATTATTATTATACCTTGGGCTTAAATGGCACCTTTCAAGGTACACAAGGAAATCTAACTAAACAAAGTGCTGCTGGAGATAATGATTCTTTTGGTCAAAAGCCACGGAGAGCAGACCCGTGTCCGTGGGCAGGAGGGTCTGGGATGGGGTGAGGGGCTGGAGGAGGTCGAACGAGGGGGATTTTGTAAAGGACTTGATGTTGGACTGGAATAAAATGGAATTGAATCATACTTCTAGGGGCGGTGGATGGTACAGCCGTCCAGGGGACAGAACTAAATCTTTCCGAGAAGCACCTTGGGGGCAACAACCACGGGTCGTGGGCTCACTCTATCGTGTCGATGACCTCCGTGTTTTTATTTCATGCAAGCGGTCGACAAGGGACTGTGGATGGTTTGGTGCTGAGATGAAGCTGTGCCTCAATGCAGTGGACGTTTATGTCGTCCAATTAAAGAAATGTCAGTATCAGGTCGGATATTTGGACGCTTCTCTTTGTTTCTCTTCCAGATGGTGAGCATACGTCGACTGCCCGGCCCCAAGAACCCTGCGGAGATGACGTACTACGCCCAGCTGAATGGAGCAGCCATCACTGGAACCACTGCTGCCAAGACCCTCAGCAGTCTGGACTCCCAGACCATGGCTCTGACGCTGGGATACTTTGTACAAGTGCAGGCTGAACGTAAGCTTGTTATCTTGCTCTGCCACTGTCCTCATACCTCATGCGTCTGAGGGAGTCAGGCACGAGAGACACGATGCAAAGTTTTATTTACTCAAACTAGAACAGCGTCACCAAAGCACCCTCATGAAACCTCACTGAACTCTGCTTGATCTGGGGTTTTATGTGGACATCAGGCCCCTTTACCACCGGGCACCTGCTTTATTTTATAAATATAAGATCAAAAACGTACATTTAGCTCTTTCTGAAGATTAAACTAAGGAGAGTAATGACCTAAAGTCGACCAACACCACTCTGGATTTTCATTTCACTCTAAGGATCCATGTCTTGTTGTTTATATTAGTCTCATTTTTAACTTAATACATAATAAATTGAATCAGAAATATGGATCTTATATTTTCTTTTGCCCCTTTTTCTGCATTAAGTTATTAATACGTTAGCGTGCGTAGATATTACACGCGTGCAGTCACAGAGCACGTGTCTCCTTCAGGAGCCATCACAGAGACAGCACGGGGACAAGAACACTCCCAGTTTAACGACTCTTCGGGGTTTATCTGCTGAAGTCAAGCGTAGCGATCTTGGCTTCCAGTGACATTCCGTAGCATTTGGGTTTTCCATAAATTTCCATAAATTTCCATAATGCCCTCCGCAGCCAATAAAACTGTAGAACGTCAACACACATTTAGAATCATGAATTCAAAATCAAAGATTGTGTTATCTAACGTAAAGTTCAGGAGATTTTGTTTGTTTCAGAGAATATTGAGCCGTGCAGCAGGATGTTCGTCCTGTGGCGGCTGCAGAGGACAGTGTTCCTTCGTACCTTGTTCTCCCTCACATTTCCCTCAGAATCTGTAATTAACTAACTGCAGAGATACCAACAACTCTCAGCGTCCTTCACAGCTCCTCCTCACGGGGCTCGGGCCGGAAACTGAACACAGTGTTCCTCTAAAATTCATTTCGTTTGGCTCTACGGGCTCAGAGGAAACAAAGTGGGTTCGTCCTGACGATGGAAACAAATCCCTCTGGCAAAACTGTTTCGTGGCAGAGAAGAAGAGAAACATATTTATTGTTTATTTGTTTTCTTCTTCTTTTTGTACTTCAGAGGTTATAATCTTTTTCTCAGGCCCAGGACCCCCTGCAATGTGTGTGTCCTTCAGAATGATTTGACATATTCTTTAGTTGTGTTAAAGAACACTGCACGATAAAATGTCTTCGAAAGATATTAGACATAAAATATATTCAGCCCATGAACACATAAATAGTTTTAAAGGATGAATCTGGACACCATTTGAGAACCACTGCTTTCCATCACACTTTTTTATCATGCATTCAAAATTCAATTAACCTGAGATCCGATCACAAGCGATCAGCACCGAGTTCAGGTCTGAGAGACAGTGGCACAATCGTGTATTGATGAATTTTGTGTTTGTGTGTTTGCAGCCGTGGTAAAGATCCCGCCCAGCAACCTGTGGATCATGGCCGTCCTGACGCCTCTTTTCCTGCTGATGGTGGTGATCGGCATGGTGGCCTTCATTCTGTGCAAGAGGAACAGGGTCATCTTCAAAAGCGGCGCCTTCAGGTCGTTCAAAACCCGCTCCAAGGTAAAGTCTCTCATTTTAAAATAGCGGTTAGTTGCTTTGTTACAGAAAAACAAAGGGAAAGCAAAGAATAAGACCAGGGATTGAAATGAGGCCAGTTTCAAAGTTTGTTTGAGGATCTCGAAGTGTGGACGCCAAGCGGAGACAGCCATGGTCCTCCAACTCTTTTCTCTTTGTTCTCCAAAATCAACTGTTCGTCTCGGGGCGTCACGTCTCGTCCCGGAAATGTTCAGACGTCGCCCCGCTCCACCTCAACATCCCCGCAGACACCAAATCTTACATAAGGTTACATAGCCCGGCTCTGAATATGTGACACATCGCACAGCAAATCAATTGTGTTGAGTTATTCCTTCAGGTCAGAAAAAATTGAATGCCATCTGTGCGCGCCTCAATCGTTTGTTTCCTCGCAGCCCAATAGCCCGTAGTCATCGCTAATCATGCATGCTGCAAAGTCTAATCGGCCGAGTGGGAACAGGCAGGGCTCAGTGTGCTGGAAGTGAACCTCAGGGTGATGTTGGCCCTTTCACAACTGTAGCATTCACTCAACATCAGTTCATTGGAGATTAAATGGAAATCAATCATTTTAAACGAGCATGAGCGAGAAGCAGATTCCTACCAGCTGGGTTGATCAGGTCGAAATGTTTGTGTCACTGTGGTCGGTGAAACGAGTGAAACGCTGGTGAGCCTCTGACGCTGCTCCTTCGTGTCCGAATCGGACATTTGAGGTGGTTCGGGGCCTTCTGTTAGAGGATTACCGGGCAAACCGGCAAGACCCCCAAGGTGGACCCAGAACTCGCTGGAGGAACTACATATCCCATCTGGCCTTGGGACGCCATGGGGTTACCTATGGAAGAGCTGGAAAGCGTGGCAAGGGCGAGGGACTTCTGGGATCGCCTACATGGATACTTACCTCTGGACCCTGGGAGACAATGGATGGATGTGTCCGAGGAATTAAGTGGTTCTCGAGTAAAGCAAAAAAAAACAAAGTCTATCAACGTTGAGCTCTGACTGTGTCGTCCCACTCACAGAAAGCTGGATATTACCCATGATCCCCGGCTTCCTGAACCAGAAGAGCTGCTGCTGTAACAAACTCTGTTCAGAGTTCTTCACATTTTAAAAGTTTTCTGCAGAATATTGGAGATAAACTCTGTTTTTTTTTAAAAACTTCTCAGTGTTTTTAACTGATCTACAGTTCAGCTTCACTCTGATTGTGAAAGTTGAAGCTGTGACTCTCAGTCAGGAGATCGAACCCGCTCACCAGAGTTACAGACGCTCAGGGAGTGAAGGAGGAAACTCTCGATGCTTTGAATAAACCAATACACAGAAGATTTCTGTCGAGATCAAAAGGCTTAAAAGCTTCGACCACCACTAAAATATTCCGTCCTCGCACAAGACAAATATGTTTACAAATGTTTGAACCATTTTTTTTTTTGGTTTTCCTGACAAATATTCTGATGCAGAAATATTTTATGTGACTTCTCCCTTTGACCCTCTCTTTGTTTAGACGTCATACCGACGGGAGGCCAGTTACCACCACCAGGTATTCACAGAGACTCTGGTTGGGTGGCTGTCTGACTGTCTGACTGACTGACTGACTGACTGACTGGATGAATGTGTTGCTGCTTTGCTGCATTGATCAGTTGTCTTACAGCTTGGTTGTTGGCTGGTCATCGGTGTGTTGTGTGCTGCCTGTCGTTGTTGCCCGATAAACTCTTGCATGTGGCTTCTGTGCTGTGGACATCACTTCTTCCACCATCCTCATTGGCCGTCTGAGATCGATGGGCAGCGGGAGGAGGAGGAGGAGGGGTTATGTGGGGGTGGGGGGGTAAAAGACCTGTAACGAGGGAGTGTTAAAATTCACAACCACGTTCCTCAAGAATAAAATCGTTTGGGTCGGAGTCGATGGACTGAATTAACAAGGAGCGGATGATTCCTAATAAACAGGCCAAGCAGGAGTCACTTTTAATCTCATAAACATAAACACCTGAAAACCAAACTGATCTGTTTTCATTTTTGCAGAATATAAAAAGGGACTGGAGCTCGTGTCGTGAGCTTAGACCCACTCTCTGTCTGCCTTTTTCTTTTCAAGCCAATTGTCTTATCCTCTTAGATGAAGCCCCCCCCCCCCCCTCATCCCACAGTGGCTCAGCAGGAACCCGACCCCAACCCTGTTCTTTTTTCATATGAGGATTAGGTGAGCTGCATTATCGTGTGTCGCCTAATGCAGAGCAGCACTGGCCACAGACGACGGATTAAAAATGTCAGCTGCTTTGTGGGTTATTTTAGTTCCGGGCCTGTCCTCACCCCCCCCTCACCGCCCCCCGGGAGGCCAATCGAGGCAAAGGGAGGATGATTGTGTGGATGGAGGAATGTGTAGGTGATGTAGGCAAGTAATGGAGCTGGTGTACAGACACAACACAACACAACAGAAAGCCTGACACAGACACACAAGATAAGTTTTATTTCATCTCTTAATTCATGTTCCATACATTAGAGATGTTCCGATACTAATACCAGCCTCACAAATGCTTCAGATGCTGCGGGAAAATGTCGGGTTGGATAATAGCGAGTACACAATTCTATGTTTCGCTGTACTGCCACTGGCGAGTGCTGTTTTTAGAGCGGCGGAGAACAAGTGATCTCTGGTAGTGAAGCGTTAACTAGAGCTTAAACATCTTAAATAACTAAAATATCTATTTCACCAACCAGTAAAATGGAGACATTTACTATGTGCAAGACTTTAGTTTGAAAGTATTTAAAGGACGTCATTGTTTTGTTTTCTAGATTAATTTATTTTTACAACATAAAAGTTGTTGTATGTATTTAGTTTTCAAACCTGAGTCACTTTTACACTTTTCCAGTGTTAAAAACATGCATCTGTTTATTTAATAAGTTGTAATATTTTTGTAAATACATCTGCACTCGGCCGGTACGTAAAGTCCAGGTGTTGAATTGGTATTCGGAATGAAAAATAGTATTGGAACATCTCTGTTATATTTGGTTGTATTCGTGTTATTTATTATAAAATTTAGCATTAAACTGTAAAATACCAAGGCTCAATTACATTTCTTTGTCATAAGGGTTTGATAAAAACATCTTAGGAATCAATTGCAACTTTATTTTAACGTATATATCAGGGAATATTTCAGTATCTGAATTTGTTTTCCCCCTAATATCAGCATCAGCGCCCAAAAATCTGTGGGACTCTAATATATAAATCATCTGTGTGTGTGTGTGTTCTCCCTGTTTTACTGTTTTATTTGCTCCGAGGTTTTGTTTGTTTTCACAATCATTTGCAAACATTTAATGTTATTTAATGTGGGGTTTTTTTTACGAGAGCACATCAAATATTAAAGAGCTCTGAGATACGAGACGTCACCGTCGGTGCCGCGAGGCTGCAATCGCTGCTCTTATCCACAGCCGTATTTACTCGCTCCCAATCCTGAGCCGTGGCGTGCATGAGCAAATGAGATAAATATTTTACTAAATACATTTGGGGAAAGCTGCAGCTAAACATCTCTTGTTGATTAAAAGCTGGGTTCAGGTTTCTTCAAGTCTGACTTGTTCTCTGTGTTTTTCGGACTCTTCTTTTCGACGTTAATCAATTCACAATAAAAGATGCGACAGGAAATGAGAACAGAAATCCGCAGTCCTCACCCCTCGTTATTATTCATCTTCTTATCAGTGCAAGATCCCCTCTTTCCACAGAAAGTGTTTCCTTGCTGAGCTGCATCAGAAGAAATCGAGAAACTTCATTCTAATAAGAATATGTTGGAAGAAATCCATCTGATTTGATTCATTTGGTTTTTGGGGCTTTGGCTGAGAGTCAGGATGCATCTTTGCATTTAATTAGTACCAATTTCTTCTTTGCCCTTTGCCTCAGGAAATAATAAATCCAGTGCCAATGATTATAGGTGCAATTATAAAACACACACCCTTCTGACTCTTGGATTGGTGCGGAGTGTGGAGGTGAGGGAAGAGGCTGCAGACGTTGTATTTCTTTCTCTCGCTCTCTAAACTCTTTGTGACACTTGTTAATTTGAAGAGTGCAGCGGTATGAATGTCGTCCCGGAGAGACTGACTGTCACAAGCCTCCTCCGTCTCTAAAGTGTTTATTTGGATCATGAAGTTACGACGTGATCAGACGGAACATCTTACAAAGTATTACCGCCTCAGACTTTAAACCAGCCCCTCGGCGAAGCTGCTGCAAAATTAAAAACAGACAAACAAACAGAGCCAGGTGAAGGGAGAGCGAAGGCTGAAGAGTTTGAGACAGAGGCTGAAAAGAGGAGCTGCAGCAAAGGACAGTTTGAGCTATTTCAAACATTTTCAAGTGATAACTTGAAATGAAAAGATTCGACTCAATTGATTCCATGCCGGTGAAATTCACTTTTCACATCAGATATCCAGATAAAGATCACATATTAATTCCAGGTGTTCACAATCATAATAAACCGCACAGAGTTAATCTCCTTCGGGAGTTAATGTGTGTCGCAGCCCAGCTATCAGTCACCCTGAGCGACAATCTAAAGCTGCCAATCAATACCCGGGTGTGTATGAGGTGCGTACGTGTGTTTAAGCATTAAAGAGTCTTCCAGCGAGAGTCTTTCACTTCATCACTCCGCCGCGCAGCCGGAACATCCGTCAAAACGCCTTTTACTCCCTCTGCGGCTTCTTCTAAAGGCGTGAAATCCTCAGATAGACGATTTCCGCGCGGAGCACAATAGAGTTGGAATTGGCAAAAGCAGAAGCGATCCATTTTTCACTTTAAAGTTTTCAGCGGATGGTACAATGCGGCAGCTGCCGTTTAAAGGACTCGGGGTGTTTTGCATTTTGCTGCATCATGGCCCCAACCTGCCCCGAGAGAAGTTTGTCTAATCTGTGCAGCGCCCCGTCGACGTGCACTCTCATCTCCCCTCCCGCCGCGTCTTATTTTACTTCCTAAATGTCGCCACTCTTCAGGAGAGCTTTTATTTCAGCACGCAGCTCCGTGGTGCACTTCCACCATCGGGGCCTGCTAGAGCTGAATTTAAATCAATATGGCCGCAGGGGGAATGGAGCATATCCCGTCCATCTGCTGCACCTCATCAAGCTGCTGTTGGCTGTTGCTCCGAGTTAAAATTAGAGGAGAGGCTTGTTTGATAGTGCGAGCGAGGAAAATAAGTGTGGATAATTCGGTGATGCAGCGGGGTCGCGCTCTCACTCGCTTCACACGGCATCTTTAAGTAAAGGATGTGGTTGGGCCCTGCCTTGCCGTCTCTCTCTCTCTCTCTCTCTCTCTCTCTCCTCTCCTGCATTACTGTTATTAACAGTTGTGGGGGGGGAAAGCCTCCCTCAAGCTCTGTCTGCAGTCAGATCTTCATCTTGCACAAGATTAAGGGTGGCCATTTTTTAAGTCAGCGTGCTGTCAGGAGATATGAAGAGAGGGAGAGGTGCTGGAGGCGGAGCACGAGAAGGGAGGAAGTAGTCATGACACACACGTTCAAGGTCACGCCCCTCAGCTCGACCCTCTTTCTGGGAATCCATACCGTCTCTCCGTGCGTGTCGGCCCGGACCCATCATCCGCAGAGTGGCTCGTCTCTAACCGTCGATGTGCAGCGTGTGTCAGGTTCACTCTCAGTTCAACCCCTGACACCACGTCTAATGTTTGCTCCTCAATAATCCATACGCATAATGCACATTGATGGAGGGTTATATTTGGACCGGCACATTTAATTCACCACCTCGCCCGCAGGCACACACACACACACACACACACGATTGTGTCTGTGAACAGTATGAGGCCATAGGCAAATTAATGTTTGCACTCTCCATACATCTTTTACATGAGTCTCGACTGTCACCATACATCACTTCAGTGGGTAGAGGACACACACACACACACACACTCTCTCTCTCTCATAATGTGTGTGTGTGTGTGTTGATCTATATGAACAACTTCCCCGACACTCATCCCCGGCTGCAGCCACGTGTGTGTGTGTGTGTGTGTGTGTGTGTGAGCCGGCTGATGGCACAGTGGTGTGTATGACTGATGAATTATTAACAACGCCATCAGCCGGATGCCCACACTGCCTCACCTCACATGCTCTGCAGAATTTAGCATGCATCATCAAATGCATTAGGCGTCCCACTTTAGAACCTGCTCAAAATAGAAAAGGGGGGAAAGCAAAAAAAAAAATCAGGGTTTCTTTGTTGCGTAACCTAAAAACTGACTTCTCTTTCTTCCTTCTCTCTATTCTGTAAATTGAAAAGTCACTTACTGCGATATAAAGAACGCGTCCAGGCGTTGGAGGATTTAACTAAACTCATCTTCTGCTGCCTTTTCTTTTCTTTTCTTTTTTTTTTTTTAATGATCTGTCTGAAAAGCTCTGACTTCAAAGGTGCTGCTCAGCTTTTGTGATTTATCTTTTTATTTATTCAGACTTTCTTTTAACTCTGACGGACGTGTCTGAAGGCTGATTAAAGACAAACTGAAGAGAAATGTCCGTTCTGTTGCAGCTTTGACATCTGTTGAGTCGTGAACTCACTCGGGAGGAAAATCTCAATCTCTCACTCTGAGTGATTTTGCTCGTTGATGAAATAATTGCACTGTTATTTTTTTTTAAACTGTATTGAAAGTGGTTTGGAGTTGGATTCTTTTCATTCCTACAATTCAGTTAATTAAGATTGACACTGAGGAGAAAATACAGTTTGTAATTTATCAGATTTCTATATACTTCTATATATAAATTCTCTGACCATCATGATCACTCACTTTCATTATCATTGCTTATAAATTACATTGACTCACTGTATTTCCTGCTCTCATTCTGCTGCAGTGTGTGTTTTATCATTTGAAATGTAAAAACTGAGCTTTGAGCCTCACGTCTCTGACCCTCGTCACGTGTCCTCATTTCCTCCTCCTCCAGCCGGTCCAGGGCTTCGACTACGCCAAGAAGCACATGGGTCGAACGGGCGACGATGCCGTCTCCGTCACCAAGGAAACGCTGGTGCTGGGGCTGCCGGTGCGAGACGCTCCGTTGTCGCTGTCGCTGGATAAGAAGGTTCACCAGGACGGGACGGCCAGTAAGAGGCCGCCATCAGCTGACATTCACAAAGGAGGGTAAGTGACTGACGCTCGACCTTTCGTGAATCCTTGATTGTTTTTTAATGACGCTGTTTATTTGATTCATTGAGTATAAGGAAGATATTATTTCAGAATTTGCAGCAAAGCAGTAATTCGCATGATATAATTTATTTGTTGGAGAGTTGTGGCCATGTTGATGAAATGTCTGAGATGTCTGTTTGCAAAAAACCGTGTGAAGACTTTTCAGGAGATTCACTTCAGTCTGACATGTTGCGACCGTAGACCGTAAATAAAGATGGACGACATAATGTGGATGATTTGTCAAAACAGAGAAAAACCAGACTGATGCGTTGGTTCCCTGCTCGCTGCCTCGTCAAAGTTCTGCAGCTGCTTCGTTGAGCGAACGTGTCGGCGACAGAACCCCGACCAGACGTCAGTGTTGAACCAGTAATAAGCAGCACAGACTCCGAGAGATCCACATGATCTGAAGATAAGTCCAGAGTTAACAAGGAGCTGCTCACTGACAACGTGAACACGCGTCGTCACAGGCAGGAAATGTGGTCGAAGCTGAGTACAGCAGCTTTTCAGAATTACTGAGGTCAAACTCAGATTTGTGTCTGATCTGTTTGGTGAGTCTAAGATTTAATTTCCTGAATGTTACATATGTTAAGAATATCACCCACCAAATACAAACATGTTTGGATTGTTCTTTAGTTACGTCACTGTTCAAAGTAGTGAAAATGCCAACGGGAAATAATGTAACACAGAGAAATGAAGGAAGTTTTCCAGCCTCCGGCAAAAACATCGGCCCCTTCGGAATACGAATATTTAAATCCAAAAAAGTTACCGACAGTAGTTTTGCCTTCAAACCTGAGTCAAGATTGTTTCAGCTGAGAAGCTGCGTCTTGAGTTTACCAGCGCTGGAATCTTTCCCCTCCTTGCTCTTCTGTTAGATTAATGCCAAATTCTCCCCCTTTTACCGACTTTCACTGGAAAAAGGACAAAATCCATTAGTTAGATAATTGTCCATGAGGAAATGTGCACAGAGCGACACGGGTCTGGAAAAATAACGAGCCAGTCGAGAACAAACCGCGATTTAAGTGGTGCTTTGCTTTTACAGCCGGAGATTACAAAGACGTGATTTTATGAGAAGCAGAGAGAAGTTTAATCTTTTCTGAGTGTTTGTGGGATGAGACACTGATAAAAAAAAAAAAAAAGAATCAAGCCCTTGAAACAACTTAATCTGATCCAGACCTTCACATGAAGACGTGGTCATGTGTCCTCACAGACAGTGAGAAGCTACAGCGGATTACACTGGTTTACTGAACACCTGCATCTGTGTCTTAGATAATTATTATAACTTTACTTGTAAAACTTTCAGATTACAAAATTATATTGCAACAACCCACAATAATTAAAAATCATTATATTACGAAAAACTACTTCATTATTGTCTCTAGCGACCGAATCCTATTATTTGTAATAATCTGACGAGATCGCACAGTTTTAAACGTATTCATCAGAACATGCAAATCAGTTACATTCCCAGGAGCCTTCGCTGGGATTACGAGTCGCGATCTGTTGTGTTCATGAACACGGAAAAAACATTTAGAGCGAAATGATGAAAACATCATTTTTAATTTTTTCCTTCCCCAGACGTTTGTCTTCTTCAGGCTCCACCCTCCAACCGCCCCCCCACGTTCAATGTCAGCATCTCTCCTGCAGGAGTTATGGAGTCATAAATTAAACTGCATCATGCCTCCTCTCACAGAAATGCAAATTCAGAAACACACACACACGTTCGACTGAGCCTCGTTTTCTACTCTCCGCTAAACAAAAGTGAATGGAGGTGGGATTAGTTGTGCTTTGCCTCTCAAGGATGATAAACACATGTATATTTATAAACCTGGCTACAGTCACGCCAGGAGGAACCATTCAGTGCAACAATGATGACACTGTGAAACGCTGGAGGAGCTGCCACAGTGCGATAATAAGCTTTTTACCGACCTGTATACACACACATGCATCTTGAAGGGAGCCGGTTTATTAAAAGAAGGAATCTCAGGTTTAGTCTATACCACGCTGGGCGTGCACTTATTAGAAAATGAGGCGGCTTCTTGCACCCTGTAACCAGTGCAGTGTGCGGAGCAGCCGGAGGAACCGTGAACCAAAACAACAACAACAACAAAGGATGCAATTATCCCTGGACTTCAGAGCAGTGAGTGAACAGAGGGAGAAACTTCTAAAGTGAGTTTTCTGTCCTCAAGTGCACAGACACCAGCAGGCTCGGGTTTAAAGACAGATGTGCTGCGGGAAAAACAAAACTGAAACTCTCTTCTCAGTCTCTGTCCTCTGCACTGGACCCTGAGTGGTGTACTGTGGTTTTCACACACTCACAGTCGACAGGTGTCCAGTTGCATAACTGTCATTTTTACATCTGTGAAATGACGGTTGTTTGAAGACAGTACGACTCACGGACACTGGATTTCACTGTGGGCGTCATATCATGCAGAATAGAAACATTCAAATAAGATATTTTAGATCCACGTGCAGGAGGTAGAGCGGGTCGTCCTCGAACCTAATTACCTTTTTCTCAAGTCCTCAGATAATCTGTTATTGGGGGGTGTAACTACAGACATATACAAATACGAATTGTGGATTTGGAGAATTGTTACACCCTGAACTTTAATACAATATGTGCATAATAATTTAAAAATAAAAATGTCTTTTGTTTTTCACAAAGTCTTATTATTCACTGAGGCTCATTTTCTATATACTATCAAAAAATACTAATTTGGTTTTAGTGAAATTAAATGATGCATTTTCTGCCGATCTTGTATTTCGTTTGTTGAAGTGAAACTTTGCATCAGTTGTTATTATATGATTATTATTCCAGCCTCTGATTGTCCGGTGTCTTGGTAGTTGAAGGAGCAGCTTCATAGACAGTGAGTTTACCTCCTCCGAGAGCTGCAGTGTGCGAGGCACAGAAGAAACAGAAGCAGGGGCACGGACATGACTTTCCTTCAGTGTGATTATCGATTCCTCCTCTCGCTGCCCTTCCCGCGACAGATTTACCGGGAACGCACGTCGTATTTCTCCCTCCGTCCCTGCAGCTCTCTGCTCAATACCACGTGACATTTACCGGGACCCGGCCGCGGCTGCAGAGTGTTTCCACAGACTGTGTGTTAAAACATCGCCTGTGGCTCTGTAATGTCCAGTCTCACCGATCTGTGCATCTCTCACCACCTGTAGAACGGCCTGTCACGTTGTGTCGCTGCTGTGGCTTACAGGCCCTGAGGCTGTGTGTGTGTGTGCGTGCATGTGTGTGTGTGTGCATGTGTTCAAGATGGGTTTCCTGGTGTGCGTGAGTCAAGAACACAGAGTTATCATACATGTTTCTTACGACCTTTGACTCAGTTGATTGTTGCTTCTTTGCTCGTCGGTTTGTAACATAACATGAGTTTTATAGGATTAATAAAACTATAATTTGTTTTATTAAATACACAAAGAAGTACAGTTCACAGCACAGAGTGCAACAGAATGATTCTCTAATGTTTATCAGCTGACACTCACTGTTCTCGTTCGCTGTCTGACCACAAATTGTTATTTCTTAAAACCTAAAAAGAAATTGATCCATTGTGTGTTGACAGTATTAACTGTGTGATGATGCCCTCATTGTGTACATGCTGAGACTCACAAGCCCTCCCCTCTCCCCTCTTCCTCACTTCCCTCTGTTGCCATGGCTACTGTAGACGGTTGCCAAGCGAGGAAGACGGCTCGGTGTCGAGTAGCGGCTCGGGGAAGCTGAACGCCAGCAAGAGCTCGTCGGCCCGTCGGACGGCGACCGGCAGCAGCACCAAGAACGCCAAGGAGGAGCTGCACAAGAGGAGCACCAACGGTGAGGAAGAGGGGGAGGAGGAGGAGGAAGAAGAGTCAGCAGGGAACGATTGAGCTGGGATGAAAGAGAGAAAAAAGAACTGAGGGTATTTGTGGGAGTAGAAAGAGACGGTGGATTCATGTAGAGACAGTTTTTACCCACGACAAAGTCTGACAACACAATGAGACACATGAACACGCACACTTCTGCTCTCACACACGTTCAGGATCATTAATATGAAATCATGACGTGCACATGAGCAAACACGCAGTCAATCATTCAGTGACTCAGCCTCCTGCTGCATCACGTCGCTGACGACACTTCTTCTCACAGCACTTACTCTCTGGTCTTATTTTACACACACACACACACACACACACACACACACGGTGGTTACTCCTGTCGGCTGAATCAAAAGAGACATTTCACTTTTCAGGTGTTTCTCTCTGCAGATGATTTACCTTATCCCAGGGTGCAACGCTGGAAACGCTGCACGGAGATAAAAGCCTGCGGTTGGCAGAGTGCGTTCCTTGAACATTGCATCATGTCGCTTTTGAGTCACATCACAGAGGAAAGGCAGAAAGAGTTGTGACACTGCACTGTCACGTGAGGTGTTTTCAGAGACACACAGCATAAGATTCGTGTACTGGAAAAAAAATGACGCAACATTAAACCCTCAGATTCTAAATCATCCTGAGTCGCTATTAAAAATCATACAGCACTTTAATTTTAAATACTGGGATTGTTTCCTTCTGGGTTTATCAGCACCAGTGGATGAAAACAAGTATTTTATCAGGAGTCAGATCTTATCACCGCTTAATAAAACAATTTATATTAATGATTTACTGCCAAAACCTCGAAACGGTATCAAATACAAAGAAATACACCACGTTTTAGGAAGTCGGACGGAGTAATATCTCTGGAAGGAAAGACGATATGAGATTATGAGAATAAAGATGCAGTTTTCGTCTTCGTGTCACGTGAGAGGTTGAAAATCAGAAGATGTGTCTGTCTCCTGCGTTAAGATGAGGAATGTCCAGCATCTTGTTAAGTTTTACTTCAGTACTTTAGTATTTGACTTTCACAAAAAAACAAAATACAACAATTGGTCTCATCAGCTCCACATGATCATAAATATCAGGATTTTGAAAAACAGGAAACAGCAGGAGAGAAACTGTGGCCAACACTTGTTCTCCTTGTTCTTTATTCTCGTAATATTAAAATCTCAGAATTTGGTCCCAGTACTCCATCACTGTTTCTTAAGAGTAAAAAAAAACAACAAAATGTCCCAGGATCATCGGCTGCTCGCGCTCTCATCTCCAGAACCTGTTATCAGCGGTGGCAGTAAACACATCGTCGATATGACTTGTTCAGCTGAACATTTTCCAGCTGGCAGAATTGTTGCATAAACATTTCTCTGATCCCCGATAACGCTGCGTTGTTGCTTCTGTTCAGTGACATTCGCGGACACCGTGATTTTTCAATCCCTTTTGCATCAGCAGACCGGCGTTCGCAGTAATTTGTGTGATTTATAGTGTTTATGCAGGCGAATGAATGAACGGAGGGAGGAGAGGATGAGTAATTGTTTCATTTGTCCCTGGTTTTCTCAGACAACTGGAGACGGACAGTTTTCAGGTTATATATTCTGGAAACTCTTGAGATAAACATCGGTTAAGATCCAAACAATATGAGCTCCGGATAAAATCAATGCAATCAAACACAGATTTTAAATGATAATAATCACCACAACAAGAGACGGGTTTCCAGTTAGATTAAAGAGTTGAAGGAATAAAGTGACGTGAGCAAACCTCTCTCCTGCCAAGATGCACTCTGGGTACGGAGGCCTTGTGGCTCAGGAGCCAGAGCGGGTCGCCCATCAACCACAGCACCGGTGGTTCAAACACGAGCAAGAGACTGAACCGCAACTGCCCTGGTCATGTGTGAATGCATCTTGGTGTTGAGCTGCTGATGACTCCAGCATCTGTTTTTTGAGTTGAGGAGTGAGAAGGTCACGAACGGATGAGAGCAGTAAAGGATTTTGATCGTTTTTTTATTTTTCAGGTGGATCTTTGATACGTCGTGGTATGTTTTTAATCACAGCTGTTCCTCCGCTGTGTTATCACCTCAACGTGATGATGTTTTTCGGCTTCGTGTTTCACGAGACCGCTGCTGATAACGCCGTCTTTTATTCTGCGGGGAGAAAACACACGTGTAACTGTGCGAGGGCACCTTTTGGTTTGGTGCTTTATTTGTAAGATTAGTCAGGATCAGTGAACAATATGTGATGCTGATAGCACACGATGATAAAGGACCAGTAACGTCTCGTTCGTCTGTCGCGGATGCTGCAGGAAAATCAGAAAATAAAAAAGGAAGAGGAAGAGAAACAATTAGATTAAATTTCAGGTTCTTCCCTGAGCAGTACCGCCTCCTACCACTGTGGAAATCCGTCCAGTAGTTCGTGTGTGACGATGCTAACCAACAAACAAAACGTAGCGTCCTTGACAAATGGAATGAAACCAAATGAATCAGAAACAGGAACACTGACATCAGTGTGACGAGAACTTCCTCAGATGAGAGAAACCGGCTTTGATCATCTCTTTGAAAATGTTGAAAAGATGTTTTTTTAACTTGTCTACCTTCAGATGTTCGGTTGAGTCCTCACACTTTTTCCCGTCGTTACCGGCTTGTCTCTGAAGTGCAATGAATCATGGGATTCATCGGGGGTGGAAGGACACATGTCGTCGGGAGCTTTCGGAATCGGGACGGTCTTGTCGCGCCGCTGTGACGCAGACGGCTTCGAACACACCCGACGAAGGACGCGGCTCCTGAACTGAAACACAACTACAGTCTGTGTTTATACATAAATCTTTTTTTTTTTTTATTTAAACCAGACCAATGTTGTCGTGGTCTCATCACCACCGAGGCTAAAAAGCTCATGTTCCTATTTGTCAGCATTAACTAGATCCCTGCAGTAAACAGTCACAGGACTCGTCACACAAGCTGATCGTCAGTTGAGTCACAGTGTTTATCTCCACATGTACAGAAAACACTGTCAGTGTCAGTGGCTGCGAACTGAAGCTATTTGGTTCCGGTGATGCGAACGCAAACACAGAAACGAGGGAGCAGAGCGCTCAGCACCGCTCAGTCATCTCAGGGAAACACTTCGCATAAGTCAAAAAGGCCAACGATCATTTGTTGTGATCGCACTGAAGATTTCAGGACGTTCGCCTGCTCCGGGTGTGTTGTGGTGACTCCGTCTGCTCTGACCCAAGCTGTCGCAGTGTGAGAGGCGACGCAGGAACGAATAACGCGGGCCGAGCTGCGGGCCGGAGTGAAATGTGACTGTGTGGGTTTGGAGATGAGTTAATGGCAGACTGGTGTAGTCCTACAATGAAGCCGTCTGCCATATGATGTCAGTCAGCCAGTGAGTCACACTGGAGCCAGCACAACACAACTCAACACAACACAACACAACTCTGTCCATCTTAAATACACAGAGCTGCATTTAACAGCAGCAGAGGATTTTTTTTCTTGTAATTAGTGGAAACAACGTGAAAATGCACAGTGGTGTTTTTTTGACCAAGAGCAACATGTACATGGCTCTGTTGTGCGCTTTTAGAGTTGCCATGACAACTAGTTGAGCTTACATTTTAAAAACAGCACCGTCACGTCAGTAGAAACAATAACACACAATTATGTCTCTCACACACACAATTTTACTTTTCAATTCGATTCGGTTTGGAATCGTTCGGGTTATTTTTTCTGCACAAATCTGATTTACTGGGTTCTGGGTGGATCGTCAGGCTCGATGCCTGAGTTCGCTTTACTTTGTTCGCTACCTTGTTTGTGTAATTGTACTGTCTCGTCCTTGTCCTTTCAATCGCCGGTCGTCCTCAGACGAGTGGACAAACTTAATTATGTTGGTCCTGTCGTTGATGGCTCTCTGCTCCGGACTTGACCCGTTTGTCTTCCTGCTCCTCTCAGACCCGTACGAGGACCACACTGGGTCCCTGCGTCTCATCACCATCAAGCCCATGACGGCCCAGCCGACCTACTCCTACCCCTCCTCCTCCTCCCACAGCCAAGACTCTGTGGTGCTCAACGGCGAAGTGAGTCTGCACACACAAGCACACACACACACACACACA